ATTCAACAAAGTTGCATCTGTTTTCGACTTTCATCTCTCCCGTGATGCGCTTCGTCGAAAGTTTTCTTCTGTTTTTCGCCGGAAGGAGTAACTGACTATAAGATATATATTTTTTATGATTTTTTTATGTTATGACCATACTTGAATGTATTTTTTTTTTACTATAGTTGACAGGGGGAACGACACTCATTTGGATGTATTTTTTCAGTCTAGTAATTACTTGGGATTTTCGGGGAAAAACATAATTGATGGGATTTTTTTGAGTGTGTCGTGTTGACGAAAATAGAGCAGGGATAGAAAAAATAGATGGGAATAGATCAGGCAATTGATGTGATGTGAGGGATGTTAAAAAATTTCAGAGGGATACGAGTCTGAACGCGAAGAGGATAGGTGTAAAAAGAAGAAAAATTTGCTGCAATGAAGCGTCCATGAATTACGTAACGCTTATAGGGGGAGAGGGGGTCACCTATATCGTTACGAATTATACATAGGGGAGGAGTAGCAAAGCTTTGCGTAGCGTAAAAAAGAGAACATTTTGTTTTTTTTTCGTTTCTTGATGTAAAGTTTGAAAATACAGGTCTTTTTTGACGCTTTTGGCAACGACAACGAAGGCTATCATCACTAAATCTTGCTTTACAAAATGGATCTGTTTTAATTTTATAAATTGAGATTTTTGCTATCTTGAACTTTTGAAAAGGAGGTACACGATGGTACGCTGATCTTTTGTTTTTGTTTTGAATATTGTCGTTCAAGTTGGACATCGGAAAATCCCACACGCGACATTCGATTTTACCCTCGTTCTGTACGTTAAACATAACGTCGGACATAGTGCGCTGAATAGCGTGAATGTGTGAATACAGCGCACTATGTCCGACGTTATGTTTAACGTACAGAACGAGAGTAAATTCAATTGGCGCGTGTGGGATTTTCCGGTTTTCTACTGAAACGATAATATTAATAATATAATTAATTACCTAAAAATAAAATAAATACAAAACGAAAGCATACATCAATATATTTAATGAAAAGGCGGGGGAGGGGGGTTTATGAAGCGTTGCGTAATAAATAGAGGGGGGTCATTTTCAGTGTACCGTTTTGTTCCAAAGAGGGGGGGGGTCAAACATATTGATTTTTAGCGAAACGGAATTAATGGACACCGCTCGGGACACCGCCCAACTATAATAATCAAAGCTCACAGCTCAAGTGCAGAAAACGGTTCCGCACCGAAAAGCGAGGGGGGCGACACATCTAAATCTCAAGTTTAGATGCTCAACAAATCTCACAATAGCGAATCAATCTTCGAAAAATCTTCTTTCATTTGTCGCATCTACTTGCATCGCGCATCATCTTTTTGCAGGAAATCTTCAGAATCGTCATCAATCTTCTTTCTATCTACTCAGCGTGCGCGCAGCTAGCCACAGCAAAACACAATCTTTTCTGCATCGTAGATAGAGTTGTCCCCCTCGCCGAAAAGGTCGAAACTGCACAGTAAGATGAACGGGTGATGGCGATGGATTACAAGGTTCCAGTTAATATTCCCAGCTGTATTTGGACGGGAATTTGATCCGCAATATTCTCGCACAGAAATACATCACCCGGTGGGTGTCTTACTTCACCATTAGCTCTTTCTTATCCGAACCCTTGACCAGCAGCAGAGACGAGTAAAACTTGGGCCGAGTGGAAAAAACGACCTGAATTCCTTTTCCACCTGCTTGTCGTAGGGGGTTTCATTGGTAAGGCTTTTCCCGGGGCTAGAATCAGCAGTTGGAACGAAATCAACAGTTGCTTCGCGCCTGTTCGGTAACTTCCATGCTACAACACACAGAGACCCGGGCTCTTATCCGTCGAATTCGATCGGTTTGAGTCCAGGAAATGGATGTGCGTTTCCGTCTCCTCCGTGATGAAGTTTTTTTGCTCCCGAGACCGATTATAGACGAATGGTCTGTCATCTTTTTTTAGTTTTCGCACCGATTTTTTACCGGCATGGTCAGCTGACATACGTGGTGTTTGTTGTGGAGAGTGTTGTAAACTGACAGTGAGTATGGCAGAGTGCTTCGCGGTCGACCTGAAAACTTCGAGAAACTGCACGGCTTGCTTGACAATTTGTGTGCATGCAGAAGGGATAAGTTGGGAATAGAAAGAATAGATAGGATGGATTGAAATTTTGTGCACGTTGAAAATTATATGAGAGGTTTGGGTAAAAATGGGATAATCCTGAAGTGTCGTTCCCCCTGATAGTTGATAAGGTTAACATCATTGGGGCTTCATTGATGTAAAACAACAATAAAACAATAAAACTTAAATTCCCCTATAAGCAGAATTTAAAGGGTGGTTTCTGCGGAGAATTTCAAAGGAACACTGAGGAAGATTAAAAAATAACTTCAAAGGGAATTCCGATAAAAATATCAAAGCAATCTATTCTGGTTATAATAAAAACAAAATTGAGGAGAAGAAGTGGAAAAAAAAAATAGAAGAGAATTTTGAGGATTTCATAGAAAATTTCGAACATAATTTCAAAGGAATCTAATTGTCTAAAAAGTTATAAAGAAATTTCAAGAAGGATTCCAGAAAACATACTTTTGCTTATAGAAAGTTCTATAATAATCTTCTTAAGAAGCTTCTTCTGGACGCTTTTTTTTAGAATCATTGAAAGCTTATTTTAAAAGTTTATTTTAGAAGCTTATTCTAGACTCTTACCCGTCCTCTGAATAAAAAACTACAAGGGACAGTCTTATGGGGTTGTACGCAATGGTGACGTAGGACTACGTGGTCTTAAATAATCAATCGACAGTGAGCATACATAAGGGCGTAAATGCAATGATCGATTCTCTTCGTCAATTTTCTCTTTTGTTAATAACTCGCTAGAATTAACGTTACTCGGTGCGTTTGCTATTGTTTATGATAGCCAATACAACTTGTTACAACTCTGCATCGAATAAATTCTAGAAAATTGTTTCGTTTAGCTGTAGCAATGCAAAGAGAACATCGATGAAGAGAATTGATCATCGCGTATACGCCCTTATGCAAGCTTCTTGGCTAAATTTTATTTTTTTGTGTGTTTTGTGTAGGAATAGGAATTTGGGCGGGGTTCTCTCTGTTTATACTCTTTAATATGACGCACTTGACATAGATGGCCCACAGTGACTCACGAAAAGCTACTGATCCCGATCAATAGCGGTGCGGCTTCTTCCTCCTTCTATGGATGCTCATGTGGGCTGCAGCTCACTGCTTGTAGGAAGCCTTTCGTTGTGTACTGGAGAACAAAGTTCAACGCCACGCGCCGAAAGCACAGCTGCTGCTGCAGTTGATGCCGACGACGACCGGACACCACCACACACGGTGATTGGAACTGAACCCGATCAGCGGTTGAGGCCAGCCTTGGTAGCTAGCTGCTTGCGGGGAGCCTTTCGTTGTGTACTGGTGGCCGTTTGGTGAGACCAGATGAAATTCAACTTTGAAATCTGTGTTAGGGAAATCGCTTTTCACAGGCAATCGGTGATAATTTTAACTTTCAAAGCAACAGATGCACATTCGTGCAATTTTCAATAGTGACATTTTGAAAAATGATAAAGTTTTAAATTTAACACATGCGTAGAAATATATCTGATCGATTGGTGATAAAATTATTGAAATTGGTCAAGGGCAGCTGAGTTATTTACGTTCAATATCTTTCATAATTTTGATACATGATCTTTTTTCGGTTTTCACAAAGTGTAGCCTCATATAGAAATCACAGACGTAGTCCTACGTCAAAATAACACGGGCAGGACAGTAAATATGAGTAGCTACGCAGTAATGGAGCAATTTTCCAAGGGTTACGGATCAAAATGTCAAATTTGTGGATGATTCTTATATTTTTAGTGCGCAAACTTGATTTTCTATGGATCAATTTCGTTAGTTTCTGGTTCATTGTTAATCGTCTTGTGCATCATTTGCAATATGTTTATTGGTAATTCATACAATTTCAATGTTAATTTTTTTAGAAATTGAGCGGTACATTTTTAGCGGTGTCGCTAAATTTTACATAAAATATGGAATAAAATGACATTTTTTATGGATCATTCACACTTTTCTTGGATTTTTACCGGAGTTTTATGGATCAATTAGGGTGTTTTTTTTTTAAAAGGAATAATTCCCATACTTAGGGTTGCCTCTTGAAATCAATCGATTAGTCATATCAGAAAGTTTAGGGTTTGAAATCAATTAATAACTAATTACCTTGAAGTAAAATCAAAAAGCGTTCTTCAGAAAAGATGTATACAATTTCCCGTGAGAGCAGATAGTAAACTTAAACTTAAACTACCGTGCCGATTCAAATTTCGGACACTTAAACTCGAATTTCGGACACTTTTAAAAGTTGATTATCTCGGTCGAATATGATCCACATGTCTTGTAAATTTTAAATTTTTTTGACTAGTGCCCTCCACGATCATCTAACATTATTACTTTGTTTCTAACTGGATGTAATATTTAATTAAAAATGAAAGTGTCCGAAATTTGAATCGTCCGAAATTTGAATCGGAACGGTACTCTTAAATAAACTTGAAAGGTGCAATGCAGTAAGAGTTTGCAACTAAATGAACTAAAATTTTGAAAGAACCTGGAACCTTGGAATCGATTGAGCATAGTGGAGCAAAATCGATATTTTGAGCCACCCTAATATACATGCACTTATTAACATTTAATTTGGCCATTTAAATAATTCTTTAAAACGAGTGCGAGCAGGAAGGGATCCAATTGTGAGGTTAAGCCTGTTCTCTTTATCTTCGTTCACGTGTAGGGTGCGGATGAATAAGAAGAGCCTAGTTTACGGTTGAAACCAAATCTATTTCCAAGAATAATCGGAATTTGAGTCAGAACATTCAATGTGATACGAGAATCATGTATCGAAAAATAAATGAAATCATAAAAGCGCTACGTTAAAAACTGCCGGTCAATCAAAATGAGCTAAGTACTGTAATTACTGTACTGTAAAATAGCTAAACGCACAATAATCTTACCTCGGTTTCCCTCTCTGTAGTGTTACCATTAGCAACGTTTACTGCATATCTTTTGTTAGATGATGGATAAGATATTGTTGTAATCTCGGTCATGGTTCTATTAAAAAGCTTTGCACAGGATACTTAATAAAAAAATGTCAGTGAAAAATGTTATACAGAATGTTTCCGTAGAAGTTCCACATTTAACTATCAAGCTGGTTACTGTTAACACACTTTTGTCACCGAAGGCGGATTGATTGTGAGTAATGAGAAATACGTTTCGATGCTCTTGCCTTGCTGGGTGATCTTATCAATGTACAAATGATAAATTTTATATGTTTAGCTAGCGAATTGTAGTCATTAGGCAGTTTAAGTTGTAAAATAACGCTATTTACCTGTTTTGACATACTGTAGGCTAGATTGTTCGTGGATGCGTCTTTTAGCAGACGGACTCCAGTGGTTTCAAGAGCACTTGGTGCAAAGATAAGTGAAGGCACGAACTGCGTCACATTCTGAGATCAGATCGATAACGATACCTTATACCGGATGTAGTTAAGTAGGTTTAGTTTCAACTCATTTTAATGCCACTCAATTATTCTATTACTATTTTCAGCCTTGGAACCTTGTGAAAGTTTGTGTTTAAAAAATCCTATCTGAAGGTATACGATGCCATAAACGAAAACAGACTCAATGTTTTTCATTAATGGCAGCGAGAAAAATGTGAAATGCATATTTTTTGCAGAACAAAAGAGTTTCTTGATATTATCTGTGTGGTTAATGTTTTTACTTTGACGCCTACGGCAATACCCTTACTTACACAGCAAAAAATTATTTCAACAGCGCAAATTTGCTGCCTGAATGCTATTTTTAACGCGGTTGTGGTGCATACACTTTGATGTGATATTAATTTATATTTTTTGCAAAACAATAAGCATGTTTCAGAGCATCGTTTCTTCTTCTTCTTCTTTTTCTTCCTTTTATTTCACGTAGGTCTCTGTTCTGCAATCTAGTAGTGCCAATCACCGACGGCCATCCATTGACGGCAATGGAATGTGCAGGAAGGCAGCTTCCACACCTGCGTAGGATATCACACCAACGGCTTTACTTCCCTTCCGAAGGAAGACGTGACCAGAGATTTTTATTCCTCCGAAAAATCCCACAGACCTCGGCTGGGATTGAACACAGACCCATTGGGGTGAGAAAACAGTCACGCTTACCACTACACCACCAACGCCAGCATTATCGTTTGTTCAAAAGAGTGCTGATGGACTTTGTTTACCTATGTAGGAAACATATTAAAAATAATGATTAGGTTTAATGGCGGCTTCGGTAGGTATTGACTGAAGAGTTTGAGTGTGTTGGTTAATATCCTTTTGATTCCGTTATAATTGCTTATCTTTTCACAGATACGTGTATTTCGTCTACTACTTGCAGACTTGATGAAGTGTCAAGTACTCTAAAATACCAGTACTGTCAAAAGACAAGCAATTATAACGAAATTAAAGGAAATAAACCAACACACTCAAAGCTCTTCATAAAGGGATTCCGTTAAAAGGTTGACTGTTTTCGGCATCCAAAATGAATACGTCAAATTTCCTGAATTTTTAGATCACAACACATAATTCAATTTATTTACAGGATCCTTAATGTTGTTACTTCAAGCGGATTGATTTTTATGACAGAGTAAAAAAAAAATTACAATATTTTTCGTGTGATGAAACATACGTACCACACTTTTCTTCATTATGCACCACTATTCATGTTTACTTAAAGTGGCAGCAGTAGATGCACCTTTCAGTGTGGATCACACAATCGTATATGTAATCGTTGGCGGTTATTGCTTGAAGCACGGTCGGTGCTATAGTTTTCGCCATTCAAAATAAAAATTTGGTGATGTGTTGAAGTTAATGGTAAAATGTGCATCCATTTCCCAAATGCAAAAATGAGGTCCATATGGGGTGTGTTACTTCCTACGATTTACTGAATGTAAATGCTACTGTGCTGGAGGCAATTTAATGGATTTGATAATAATGCACTTCCCTAATAATTTTTTTATGAATCTTTTGTTTAACGTCGTGTTCCAAACCATTTGTGGAATAGTTCTATCATTTGGGATATCGTTCGTTTTTTCATATGTAATGGCAGTTCTTGCAATGAACTGCAGCGTAGAAGCAAGTTTTTCCAGAATGCATATTTTTGTATGAAACCTTCACGTGATGATTTTCTAGGCGAAATGCATTTATGGAAACAAACTTTTATCGAAAAATAAGCTAACGAACTATTTTAAAAACCTTCAGGCGAACAGAGTCTGATCATGTCGTGCAACTTTGCAAATTCTGCATACTTTTCATGCAAATCTGTAATAGAATCTATCATTTCCCGATTGGATTAATGCTTGCATATCATAAAAAGAAACTTTAATTTACATGCATTCTGGCTGTCCGCGTGGTGACGTATCGTATTGCACAGATTTTTGCTTACCTCATCGACAACAGCGGCCGAGCTTTCATTTCAGGATGAACAAAGCGCATCAAAACAATAACATGTATCGAGGATACACATTATTTAAAGCATCGTTTCTCCGTGCGTCCCACATGTTCTATAATAGTTTATATAACCTTTTAGGGGAATATGTTGGGGACGCAATACCATCGCGACCATTACTTTGATATATTGTGGTGTATCCTCTTTCTATTTATGCCTTAACGTAGTGGTAAGTCACTATTGTTTGAGCAACTACCACTACTGTTGTAAGCAATTATCACAACCAGGTAATACATTCCTTATGAAATTTATCACCTGATTGGGGGCAGCAGCCCAGATTTTCCAAGGTCTCATCAGACCCTTATCAAGATATCTACATCGTTTATGAAATAGTGCAAATAGTGTCACACAGCAAATATTCAGAGCTTTTACTCTTTAAGTTACAAAAGCGACATTTATCTTCAGCGGTTGGTGTAGGGGTAAGCGTGGCCTGGGTTCAATCCCAGTTGGCGCCGCCGGGATGTTCTGAGGCATAACATCTCTGATCACGCCTTCGGAAGGGAAGTAAAGCCGTTGGTCCTCGGTTCATGAGTTGATGGGTCGATAGGTAGGGTTCTAGGTGTGGGAGCACAGAAAACAAGATCGACGGAAAAACAAATAAGGATAAAAAAAGAAAGGTTAAGTAATTTTTGTGTATGAAAAGCGTTCGGTTTTATAAAACGTTTAAATTGCCGAGAATTTATGGTACTGGTTCAGTTGTACTGTACCTTTGTTTGTTTTCCCAGTTTTTTAGCTTCATTTTAAAAGCACAAAAAGAAAGTAAAAAAAAAATGGTTCAGGACCAATGAATTTCATGGATGACCCTATTTTTGCCAATTGATGTGCTTTTTTGTTTCCTTCGATTCCACAATGACCAGGAACCCAATAAAGGTTAACCGTATTTCGACAGGACAGTAGCTGTAATAGTTTAGTACATTCACACACCAATTTTGACGTGTATGTTTTTGATTTCAAAGCATTCAGAGCCGCTTGACTATCTGAACTATCCTTTTATGCAAATCATTGCATATATTTCAGCTTGAAATACTGCCGACAATTTTCCCATGAACACCGAAAAGTTAACCCCGGGGCCGGTAATACCAGCATTCATCATATTATCTTGTTTCGAGCCGTCTGTATAAAAAATTAATGATCCAGAACGAATATTCAGTCTTCCTGCATCCCAATGAGCGTGAGTCACACCAGGAACTTGGAAGGATCAGGATCAGGATTATGGTTGAAATAATTTCGCTTTAGCATACAATCTTCGTTCATCAATATTAATGGACTTATCTGAAACTCTTTTAGAATGCTAAAATGTCCAATACGATCTCCATCGAAGATCTTCATGGACCATTTGAGGCTCAGAGCACTTTTCACTGCATCCAATTGAATACATTGTTTTAAAGGAAGGAGATTGAATAAAGCATCTAAATAAGGTTGTAGAGGGAGTACACATTGATCCAGTTATGGAAATAGTAGCAAGCTTAGTAGCTTGCTTAGTTTTCGGCCACCAAGTGACGCGTAGGTATTGCCAATACAGAGAAAAATTAGTATTTGGCGTCAGATGTGACAACCGAAATCGACAATCGTCACTGACAGCCAATTCCAATAAAACTTTGAAGCACTGAACCACGCGAAAAGCATTAGAAATCAACAATAAAGCAAATGAAAGTTCTGATTGAAAATCGAAGGAAAAGGAAGTTTGTGTGTGGATTTATAGCGTTCTTCTTCTTTTCCTTTATTTAACGTCGGTCTCTGTTCCGCAATCTAGTGCCAATCACCGACGGACATCGATTGCCATCCATTGACGGCAACAGAATGTGCAGGAAGGCAGCTTCCACACCTGCGTAGGATATCGCACCCATTCACAACACACATGGGCTGGGACCAACGGCTTTACTTCCCTTCCGAAGGAAGACGTGACCAGAGATTTTTATGCCTCAGAAAAATCCCACCGACCTCGGCTGGGATTGAACCCAGACCCATTGGGGTGTTATAGAAAGCAGTCACGCTTACCACTACACCACCGGCGCCGGCCCGTAGCGTTACAGCTGTGCCATCCCCAATTTGCATCTAAGAAGACAATAAAGAGTTAAAATATTTTAAGTATAGTGATGCAGTCGATAATCGAGCTAACAACCCAGCCGCCGTTCAACCCATCAATCATACCTAAAAATATGCTGGAAGTTCATCCTGCTTTCTAGCCTGCAATTTAGTTAAATTATCAAACCGTATAAGTTTATATAGTGATCCTTGAGCGATCCAGCTATTCTAAATACGTTTGAAGCCGTCATCCAAGCCATCTAGCGGGTTATCGGAAAACAGTTCATTTTGTCCTTAAACGGGCAATAAACGATATTTGTTACTCTCAAACTTCCAAAATATATTTCATGGTAAAATGCTTGACATTCGTGACGAACAGAGTTCTATGATATCCGCAGAACCTCACATAAAAGGTCAGAAAATTAGGTTTTAGAATCAGATATAATTGATCCGGTATTAGTGTCAAATATGCCCGCCAGTGCCAGAACTGGCTTCAGAAAAAAATTGTTTAAAGTAGATCTTTTTTTTTTTTTTCCTTTGGTTTTTTTTTCCGTCGATCTTGTTTTCCGTGCTGAGCACCAATGCTACCGACGTGCCAGGAAGGCAGCTCCCACACCTGGACCCTACCTATCGACCCATCAACTCATGAACCGGGGACCAACGGCTTTACTTCCCATCCGAAGG